AGTTTACATCACAAAGTTCCTCTCGATAATCACGCATATCGGAACTCAGCTTCCTGAATTATGGCCCCTGATTGTTTGAAAACATAACGTTTTTGGCATGTGGACCCCCTAGAAGTCACAATTTGTATTCAATTTTAAAAACCGTTTAAATATATCACCCTTACACACTAATGATGGCTGAGTTCAAATCCCGTTAAAATCGGTCTGAAACTGCTAGACCCAATGGCTGCTACTTGTACGCAAATAGTGTAATAGTATATGTAATACCAAGGTTGTGGACCCTCTAAATGTAGAAGCCAGATTTTTTATCCGATCTTGATGAAACTTAAAATACATGTTTATATCCAAATGATCTCGGTTCCTTTTGATATTCATGCATATCAGACCGTAACTTGATTATGGCCACTGATTGTACAAAATATCCCGTTTTTGTTTAGCTTATTCTCTGTCTATCTCTTGCAATGCAAAATGTGGGCGTATCTTGCCTGGCAGCCACTGGTTCAACTATTATAGCGATAATTTTACTGTCAGCATTTTATCTAATCTTAATTAATGTCCCCTTAACATACAAATTTTTATACATACGGATTTTGTTTTAGACTAACGCATGGCATCTTGCTTGTTTTCATTGCTTACGTGTGCGATGCAGCGGATGATAACATAATATGTAACAATTTCATTGCATCCATTCACTTGCCCATAACGGTTTCTTGCTTTGGGAGGAAACCGGACGACCTGGAGAAAACCCATGTGGAGAGGCAAAGATTGGGATCGAACCTACACCTCTTGACTTAATGTGAGACCCCATGATCTAAAGCGCACGCGTTAGATCATTCGAACACCCAGTCCCCAGGTGTATTGTTGAAACCAAGAAAATTTAAAGGGGCTAAATCGCTAATATATGGGACCTACAAATCGAATGGCAATCTCTAGTGTCTGGTTATTCCAGTCTACACCGCTAGTATTTATTGCGAATGCTCTCCTGATAAGTATATGGCGTCACCGTCTGACATGACTTGTGGAATATACCTAACCTCGTTTTCTTGAGCCCCTTATTACACATGGCGCTGAAACGCATTATGGTACACGAGTCGTGTACCAATGGTAAAATGTTTATTTTGTCTTAAATATTGGATATCAGAAGCCTACCTTTTCCCAGTAAGATCACAACATCAATATTGATTTAGATTGACAAATAATTCGTGATTTCAATGTCGAAGATTTTGGATGATATTGAGTTAGAGACTTAGCTACTTTAATGTAGAAGACTTGGTCTTATGGATGTTAACACTGAAATAATCACCACATATTTACAGGAGTACATGTCTATCAATATCATATTGATTCAGTAAACAATAGAGATAAACGTTTTTTTTTAATATTCGCAACGTGGGTGGGGAACGAGTGGTCTAAAGGATACACTCATTGAGTCAAGATCCAAGCTTGTACGTGGCAAGGAGTAGGGTCGCCTGTCCAACCACGTGGGGTTTCTCCGCGTCCCCCGGTTTCCTCCCACTGCTAGAGACCCATATTGTACCATGTTAGTCAGGATATAATAGTCTGTGTCGGGTGAACTTGAAACCTTCACTTTCTCGCTTTATTTGTCAAGTTCTATAATTTAAGTCTCATGGACCGGGCCATTTGTGATAAGTTCTGTTTCTATATGATGTAGGGAATGTTTACTCATGAACACCTCTATCTCTCTATGTAAAAGAATAGAAAGCGAAATAAAGATAGCGAACAATCAATAAAGACAATGCCCTATAGATTAATATACTCTTAAAACAGTGTGTATATTAGTAATGTTTAATCAGAAACAAAATGATTGTATTGATGAACAATTATGTTTTGCCCAGCGGATACTGTCTACCGATCCCGTAGCTTTTGAAGTTTAGTTTCAAACAACCACTAATATTAGCAATAAATAAGGATGCGTGTTGTACGCGTGTCAATATTTGCTTGTACGCTCAAGAATCCTTGAAACTACTTATAATTTATTTAGTATAAGCACATTACTATTATATGTTGTATTATTAAAGAAAGTGCAATAGGACTTTACCACACATAATCAAAACCTATACGATAGGTCATTGACGTCATAAGTTTTAGAAGTCAAAAACATTAACAATAATTAGGGCGATAATCCAGATAGAATGTCGGAAAACGCTAATATGGTTTAAATTTAAGAATAGAAATAAATAGGTAAAGTAAACAATGTGTATAGAAAGTAAACAGGGGGGGGGGGGGGGTATTTGTATGAATATGCGGCATAAAATGATACAGACAAGGAACTTTAGTATTTAGTAGTACATGGGTTTTTTTGTGGAGGGTGGGGTGTATCCAAAGTTTTCGCTGCGACTCACAGATCTCACATAATATGTTACTCCGATCACAGGCAACAGACTAGGTCACAGACACTGATGTTACCATTGATCTAAGACTGAAAACTAACCCAATCATACGTCAAGTTCGGACTGATTATGCGATGAACACCAAGGCGGTCTCAGTGATTACTACAAATATCGATTGAGAAAGACAATGCACCACTGACTACATAGATGTATTTAAAGCACCAACAAAACGTGGTGTGTTTTTTTTAAGTCCAGCCTTTATTCCCTATCATTTCTGAAATCGTATGAAGTTATCTGGGAATTGTATTTTGTATTATTGCTTGATCTACGTCATTAGTTAACGAATAGGATATGTATAGAGATGGTACGATGTAAGCAATGACTTCGGATGGAATTAAATGTGTAGTTTTCAGTAGATAGTGGCAGCGGATCAATTTCAAATACCGCTTGTTAACTTTATGAAACGAGTGTTCTAGTACGAGTAAAGCCATGCGTAGATGACAATAACCTCTGGACAATAGCTGAATTTATAGATGAATTAACGAGGCGTACTACTGTAAGTGATACATTAATTGCTGCCTGGATAGAAAGCAACGTTGGGATGTGCAGTAAGTTTAAATTACTAAGGCCTACGACACCAAGAATTAGTTTCCATCGATAACCCCATTTCTCGTCTGTGATAATCAGTCGAGCAAACCTCTCAATCCCTAGCGCAGACGGATGATATTGAGACAATTTTTAAAAGATCTATAATTGACCTCATATTGCTAAAAGAATGGCGACGGCAGCGGATAATGACTTTGATAATTATCGAAATCGTACATCAGTCGCTGCATCAATATCTTATGAATCATTTTATTTTGTTTGTCAAATCAGCGCAAGCTAAAATATCATGTACGTAATCTTAGAGAGTGGCGAACCCGCAATCGCCGAATACATGCACGCTGCATCTACGTTCACACACGTTCGTGACGTTGCGGGTTGGCTGACATTTGCTGGTCGCTTTAAAAAGCGCACACTATGCAGATTTCTCGTGAAATATATCTTCTCGGGTTTCGTCGCCCATACAGTGGTTGGTTAACACACGACTTGCCATAGTAATTAACAAACGCTTAACAAATAATATCGGTTACCAAAGATTTTATCAACACGTTGTTTATCAGACGATGAACTATCGGCCATCAGTGCACATAATGAGTATATTGCCCCACTTTTGTCGCTGACGAGAAATCGAGAGAGAGAGAGAAATGGGGTTTAACGTCCACTCGACACAAACTAGGTCATTTTGGGATTAACATATGGTTTAATTTTATTTCAATAATTCGCTTGCGCGTAGGGGTCTTTAGCAGTGGGAGGAAACCGGAGGACCCGGAGAAAACCCACGAGGTTGGAACGAGAAATCGAGCTATTAGAAACGAATGATTCTTGGTGTGCGTAGGCCTTTTATGCAAGCATGCTTAGTAATAGTATGGGGGCGTGCAGTATGTTACTTTAATATGCATTCATTTTATGGACAGAAAAATGCATTCATTTTATGGACAGAAAAGATACCTGACAGTAAAATCAAGATGTCTTCACATGAAAGCTTTTTATCGGTATTGCCATAGGAGGAGGTTCATACATTTAACACGAATTTCTTTTGTAAGGGGGGCTATTAAAGGTTAGTGATGATAGAAAGTATTCATAATTTTATGCATCAAAACAGAACGCTGTTAGATTTGTGAGAAATGTATCACTTTTTTAAAAGATGGTTGGTAAATGTTCGAAATTCAGTGATAGATTACTAGTGGACAGCCAAGGTGTGGCCTTAAAAGGTTTGACCATTCTAAACTAAAATGATGCTTGGTTGTTTGAAGTCTTTGTGATGAATTTAGATTGAATACAAATTGACAAATCATCGTACGAGTTAATGGACTTTAGGATATTAATTAATAAAGGAACACGTAGAAGGTGCATTAGATATAACATCGTTAGATGAAATGTCCTGTAAACTAATGCGACCCCGTTGTTGTCTTGAAGTTTATTGATTAGAATCAGATTAAAATCATAGATTGCATAAAGCGACGTCCGACTACATATTTCAAAGTGTGGATGCTACTGCTAGGTGAGACTTCCTCGAGTGTATAGTTAGAAACAGACACAGTAATTGCTTTCGAGACTCGTCTTTAGAGATGATTTCGTGACAGTATTGTATATCGCTAATTACATTTAAATGTGTTATGTTTTGTGTAAAATTATTTACATAATATACGATGATGTACCCAGACAGCGGGTAGTGTTCGTTCATTCTGCCTGAATAACCGCATTTAAATGATGCGTTTACACGCATATATGTTATAATGAAACTATTGGTGGATTTCATCTGAAGAACGAATAAACAAGTAATTTTATGCCACATATATATAAAAACAAAAACCATACGGCGTGTGACTGACGGGTTGTATTTTCTTCTCAATAGACTAAAAGACATACACACGAATTAACCTGCAGTTCTTTATGTAATACACTTGGTGGTAAGGTTTTCGTTGTTCACCCGAGTTCCTCGAGTCGACACCAGACTAACTCGAGTCGCATCACGTGACTAACCCGTTTACTCCCCAATGAGCGGAGAGTAAAAGGGTTTGTCACGTGACAAAATGGCGTCCTACACGCAAAAAAGCCTGTCTCTCGATCACATACTGACGTCGTAACTGTTTTGATGTCATGTGACTACTCGGACCGTTCGGGATGTTTCACCCGGGTAAACTCGGCAATGGAGTCGACTCGAGTGACGCGAGTAAACGACGAAAACCTTACCTTGGTGTGTATTCGCTTGACGACATAAATACGATACAGCACGGACATAGAAGTTTACTTGTTTTAAGGACTTACAGTGGAATTAACTCGCAATTCTTACAGGCTGCTATTGTAGTTTTCACCCATATACGTTGGAGTAAACGAGAATTACAAGTGTACCGTATTAAAGAAATTATGGCAAGTTTTCTTTGTAAGATATGAACTGATACACTAATGTGTACGTACTAGTGTTAAGGTAATGATTTCCACTGTGCAAACTAGTTTACTTTTATGCACTATAAAGGACTTTTAAAGTAGATATTTGACTAAAAGAAATTTACCTATGGACATTTAAATATTGGACTAAAATACACCAACAAGTGCAGTTTATATGAAATAATGAACGGATTTGAAAAAAAAAATGTTCCTATTTTTTTAAAAGTTTGTTATTATTATTGTAGACTAGTTACCATTTGAACTAGGTAAATTATGTCATGTGAACACAATGGAAGACGATTTTAATTACATGAAGCGCGGTGGTATCCAGGATACGACGTCACCAAAGGTAAGACAAATTGAGAAAGAGAGAGATATGGCGGTATAGTAGATTCAAAATTCTAATGTGCTGTCGGCTTATTTCCAACTTCTAACTTGTATAATCCAAATTCTCAATTTGTTCAGCGTAAATTTTAAAACTGTTATATCTTATTTCTATTATTAGGACGAAAAATGTCTTCATCGTTAACGCTTTTACACGTTTAGCATGAACATGAAACAAATTTAGAATTAGCAATTACCATGATTATAAAGTCGTTTGGTGTCGCCACTGTGTGCTCATTTGGTGATTGAGCAGGTGGTCCGGGCATTATGTGCAGTTTAATGGCCGAGTGCGAGACATTAAGTTATATATTGATATTGCACGAGTGCGATAGCACAAGTGCTATATCTATATTTTCCGCAATGTCTTCAACTAGACCATTAAACCACAGGTACATGGGGACAGGCACGCCCTTATATGGTTCACCTATGTGATTTTTTCAAAATATTTTCTGGGTTTTTTTTTTCAAAATATTTTTCAAATTTTTTAATCTGCTTTATTTTTCTTCCTATTTGGTGCTAAATCATATAATATTTACTATCAAACATATTCGTATAAAAAAAGAATTATACCTTCTGATGTATCTAATAAAATAAAAGGGTAAGACACTTTTCTGTTGACATTTTTTTCTCCGTGAGGTACCCCTGTCGCTATTTAATTCAAAATCGTGAATAAAATTGCCCGTACCATTATCTGAAATAATGGTACGCCAACAGCAAAGGGTGACGTCACATCTGTATTTTAAATTTATTGAACGAAGTGTTAAGATTGAAACAACGTCGAACGTGATATGGTTTGCAATTACCATTTCAAACAACACTTATTCATTTATTTTTTTATTTACTTATTCTTGTTTTTTGAAGACAAGTGACGGATTTGCAGTTAAGCCAATATCAATATTTATATACTGCTGATCTGTATTCTATTACTGCTCTAACAAAAATACGATCTGTAGATCAATATTTCGTTTCGTTTTTTTTATACTTTCAATAGCCTTTACTATTGAACTATTGAGAGGTTGCGTCAGGGGTCAAACGTGCGGCTTTTGACCTTATGACCTTAGGATACCCACAGTCCCGTACATCGCACGCCAAGAACTCGATGCATCAACCTGAATGAGGGCTATATAACAACTCAGTGTATTAAAAACAAGTAAAGCGAAATGTTGAACTATAAAAAACAAAACGAAATAGGATCAGATTGACAAAAATATCACTTCCTATAATGATAAACATTTTCTTGAAATGGTTCAAAGATATAAATTTAGAAACCCCATATTGTCGGGATCAAACGGCCTTTAAAGGAGATCGCGATAATCTGTTCACGTGGATCACGATGAAGTTTCTATTTCTGGCGTCTTCATTATACCTACCTGACCAAACTCATGGTAGTTTTTTCTAACTAAATATAATTCAAGTTGCATTAAGCGAATGAACTGAGGTTTATCGTCCAACTTTTCTGCAACAACTGGGCTAATGAAGACGGGACAGCGGCGCCACGATCTACGTTTTTTTACGAATTACAGCTGCCAAGGGTTTTCATCATTCCATCCAAACGGCAACCCCCGCAAATCACAGGGACTGAACTAATAATGCCAGAAATGTTATAAAGCTTATTTTTGCTAGTGTGTATACTAGCTGACGAAACCCATAGAAATACATTTCTATGATATAACCGATATACATTGGCGTGGTCCTCCCTTCTTTATCATTAATACAGGACGGTGGTCTGGCAAGAACAGTGGCTAGTCGTGCGAATGGTATAAAGTGACATTTGTTTTAGAGCAGTAATAATATAGACCAACAGTATATAAATATAAATTGGCTCAATCTGTAAAAAAAAACAACAACAAAACAAAAACAAAACAAAACAAAAAACAAATAAAATTCTCCAAATCCTGCACTTAAAAAAAATGAAGAAATGCTGTTTAGCTTATATTTGACATAGTAATTGCAAACCATATCACGTTCGATGTTGTTTTCAATTTTGACACTCTTTCAAACCATAAAACCTGACGAAGAGCGAGTCGCTTGTATCAACATAATGGTCGTCATATAGAGCGCACGGTGGCGACACCAAACGACGTCACAATGATGGTTGCTATGTAGAACTGTCAAAATTCTTAATTTAAAGCGACAATGAAGTAGACATTTTTCGGCTTAATAATAGCAATAAGATGAAATAGAATTAAACTTTTCATGCACAAATACAGAAATTGGATTATACATTGTCTTAATTCAGAAATTACATGAATAGATATTAGCCGGTAGCACGACATTAACAAATTTAGAATTTTGAATTTAATATACCGTCACAGAGAGAGAGAGATATTTGATTGTATGTTTATCTTATGATGTACACCTCTGCGGTCTATTTATAGTCGTATTGTACCCTGAGAGGAGGGGCTGGATCATATCCTATATTGGGTTGTAATTGTAATGATTTTCTGTTTGGTTTTATTTTTGATTTATTGGCCTTCGTTTCTTTGTTGTTGTTTTTTATCTTTTTATAAAAACTTTTTTTATTATTTGTTTTGTTTTATTGTTGTTTTTATATTTTATTTCCCAGGGGGATGGGCTGGGGTGATTGTCAACTTTAATTGTGTATCTTCTGTATGATTTGCTGTCTGTTTAGTCGTAAAATTAGTCTACAAGATTCTTGTATTCCCTGGTCGACGTTGATTACAAATGATAGGCTGATGTAGCTAGTATAGGAAAAGCATACCGGTACAAATAATCAATGTCTATATTGAATTTTAAAAATATGTGTTGTTTTTATTGTCTCTGTTAATGTTAGGGTATTTTTGAAGACTCTGGGTATAACCCATTTCATCCATTGGTGTACGAGCCAGGGGGGCAGGGGTAAAAGTGAAAACAAAAATTATTATTTCACCTAGTTGGCAAAATAAAGTGCCCGAATTCTAATAAAACACTAATTTTACTTATCTTTTAATTCAATACCACGAAATTGTACTGAATTGTCTATAGATTAAAACATTTTGTTTAAAGCCACTTTACTTCGTGCCACATTTTTGGGCATCGATTATTATTAAAGTTTAAAGCTGCAACAGTCCGATTGGATGGTTGGAGTTCAAGTCGGCATAGAGTGGAACTTCGGTTACAAAACGATTGGAAACTTTGAAGTTGCTTAACTCAAGGGCTAGAATAGCAGAAAACCGCATTTGCGGCGGTTAAATTTTCAAAATCTTCTAAGGGAGAGCGAGGCCCCTATAATTAGCGACAATCGAATGGTTGCTTGGGATTTGATTTTGAAGCCATCTAAGGTAGGCTATATTTGACAACATTGAAGTTGCTATATTCACGTGCTGGAAAAGCAGGAAAACATGTTTAGAGAGTCGCGCACCAAGCTCTAGCTGGCCGGTCACCTGTGGGTTCCGGTCGTGGCTTCGATCCCTGGTTTAAGATGGGGGTGCCTTCTCAACCTCGCGGGTTTACTCCAGTTTCCTCCCACATAAAAACCCCTGCGCGTGCGCTAAGATAATGAAAATAACACAACTTGCGTGCGACATCACCCTCGGCCGAAGCGGACGATAAACGCTAAGAACAACACCATTGAAATGCGAGCCAGACACATAAGTTAGGCCATATTAGACCACTTGCTGTATTCAGGGATTGGAATAGCAAGAAAGCGCGTTTGCGGACGTCAAAAGGTGGGGAGTCCCGAGACGTCTGTAACCCCAATTTTTTTCGGGCAGTTCAGGTTCTGCTCCTTTCTTCCTCCCACCATAGCATTCATAGAATTTGTATCATCGAGCCCTTACGCCTATGGCTGATCATAATTTTAAAATTCTATATTTCACACATTTTGATATTGTAATGCTTGAAGCCATTCTGATAATGATATTGTAATATCTATGAAGCCATTCTGGTAAAACTAATTCCATACCTTCGGTCAATTGGTTCAGGCGCTAGCTGGCGAACCAGGTGGTCTCAGTTGACCGACAAAGAAACTCCGGATTTTCCATCATGGAAGATATAAGTAATGGTTTCGAGTCATTGGGAGGGTACAACAAACCCACCTCCCTTGTACAGTTTCAATTCGATAAGAGTAGGCCACAGTGTCGCTGTCCGGGCGAAATTTCCCTCATAGCAAATCGTATGTGTCCGCTTTCATTAGCCAAGTCGATGCAGAAAAATAAATTGTTAACGTTTAGAGTAACGTAATGATAATGATTCACTACATTACAGGTGACTAAATGTGGATATTTCAAAATTATGGATAGATCAAAACACGAGTAATTGCTTGGCTCAACAGAACGCGAAAAGTGTAATAGTCCGATAGAAGGGTGATTTTTGCTCGATACATATCATTAGTGTAAAGTCAAACGGGTGTACGTACCTGGAATATTTGACGAAGTGTATCTTCTTGATCAATAAATTCTTTTAATTTACTTTTAAAGCCAATACAACTGGTTTTTAATGTTTTAAAACGTCGAATGTGAGCTGTTCATTTCTGATCGTCATCGCCTGTTGAATGCCTGAAAGGCTTATGCGTCCTAAAAGGCTTCAATTTCGTCCATATACTTACAGGGTTACACAAACATGATACAATTGAAACGTCACAGACAATATATAAAAGGGTTATGGTCAAAACGGACGTACAGCCACAATTCACATAAGTCAAAACAGCCACAGCCATCAAAATAAGTGTTCTAGTATTATACCGTCAAAATATGTAGTGTAAATATTGGATTAGAATTAAATAACACATATTTAATTGGCCTTTTTGGTACTTTTATGGCCGTTAATAACCGTTAGACTGATTTTCTGTAAGGGTGTATCTTCTGTTTTCATACGTACAGGCCAGCGCCACCTATATTATGTTTCGCAATCGTTGGCGTCCATCTTTTACAACGGTTTGAATCCAATCCGGGGGAATATCTACCGTTGATATTTTTGTTTGCTTTCTCGATTAGATGTTAAAAGACACTTTCTCGCGTACAAAAT